TTAATCTCTCATTCTTTGAGTAATCACTTGAATTTTAGTTCAGTCAATTTGGTAAATAGGTCGGCTTCACCTACGATTAATTCTGTGTGCAGAAAGGATGCAAAAAAAACTGTTGCAGGATATTTGTGTTGAGAGCTTTTTCTATTAAAATTCATTCTCGAGATTCTCATCAGCAATGCTGCATTTATTGGCCATCCCTCATTATTCTGAAAAGATACTGCCGCCTTGAGATACTAGCATTTGTTTGCACAACTGAACAAATTGCAAAGACATTTCAAATAGCATCAACAGCATAGTTACATAGCCATCAAGGTAGGGTGGCTAGGATCATCCTCCTATTAGTTCAGCCGTGTCTCGGAGACTGCATTTTCGCCTTTGAATCAGAAGGTTGTGAATTCCCATCTCACACCAGTGGCATTAGCACAAAGTCAAGGCTGCATTGTTGGAAGTGCAGTCTTTCAAAGTCTGCTTCAGTATTCTGTGCAAATGTTTCTGTTTTAAACGGTGTTGTCCAGCTCGCTCCCCATTTCCCTCAGTTCCCTGCTGTTTTTCTCTCTAACTGCACTGTTGCTATTGTCTTAGCACTGCACTGTTATCGTGTAGCCATCCGTAAAGGAAAACGAAATCCAGTATCTGATAATCAGTGCATCCTGAGTTCCCATCAGGAGTTACTAAGGCCTATGTCATGCATTGATGATGTGGAGGTGCTGGTGTTGGACTGGGATGGATAAGGTCAGAAGTCACACGACACCAGGTTATAGTCCAATGGGTTCATTGAAATCATGAGCTTTCGGAGGGCTGCTGCTTTCTCAGGTCAAATGAAGAGAAGGACACAGGCACAGAATTTATAGGCTGAGAAATCAAAAGATCATACAAATGATGTGAGTGGAGTGTTGACAGGCTGAATAACAAGTCTCTGCAGGTGATCAAAAGTGTCAGACGGTGTGAGTAAAATGTCAACAGCTGAATAGCAAGTGAAGGAATGACCTATAATTTGATTAAATGAGGCAGAGAGATAATTACAAAAAAAATTAAAAATAATGTGGTGCTGGAGACAAACCAAATGGCTGGAATGGTACGTATTAGAGTTGCCTGCAAAGTAACAAATAATCCAAAACTATATACCTAGTAGGTATATCTAATAGGGTCTAAAACTTAACTGCAGGCAAAAGTGTTTGCACAATTAACACAATTTCTTTGCAGTCAAAGTTGCCTGTGCTTTGGTTTACTGTTGTTAGCTATATACTGATACCAGACCTGAGTCTTTTTTAATTTCACTTTCTGTTTGGTCTCTGCTCAAATGCATCTAAGCATTTTCTTCTAATTTTCAGGTGGAGCTTGACTTCTTTGGCCGGAAAATGGACAAAATTAACATGGTGACAATCTCAACAGGTATTTTAAACAGATACTTACTGTCTGTGTCTTGCAGTCAGTTTCGCTGTCTAACTATCTGTCTGCCTGTCTCTCTCCCTGCTGCCATTTGGTGGAATGCCATCTTGCTGTAGGGTTGCCAACCCTCCAGGATCGTTCTGGGGTCTCAAGGAATTAATGATTAATCTCTTCAATGCTACTGCCAGCAACTTAAGAGAATTGTCATTGGCACATTAAAAAAAATCTTGTTGTCTTCATTTTCTTTTAGTGCTTTTACTTTACTGTCAAAATGCGTGAGAGAAAGAAGTCTGTTTGACTGCAACTGTTGGAAGCAAAACCTCCAGTGATAAAACTTCCAGAAATGCAATCAATTGGGGTGCTCATCCCAACCTTGTAACTTCTGCCGTCATTTGTGTTTAAAAAGTCTGTAAGGAAATTGGGATCAGGAGCCTATTTTCCAGCACTCCGTTTTGAATATTAGAATACAGTAGTTTTCTACTCTATACCTAACTGACTGTATGGCTGCTGTTCCATTAACTCCTGTTCATATGGTTGTCATTTTGACTACAATTCCAGGAAGTAATGCCACAAAAAGGGACAAGTAATCATACAGTGTAAGAGGGGCCATTTCACCCATTGTGACTCTCCATAGCAGCATGCTGTTTCTCCACCTTTTTGAAATAATCTCCTGAGGTGTATTTTGCTGTCAGTTGTTAGCTTCATAAGACAGGGTTACATTACCATCAGTTAATACATTTTCTGATCTGCTGTTAAGCACCTGGGTGATTTTTCCAAATAAATTTCCCAGCACGTTATTCATACATTCCCATCCAAAGTTATCATTTGTTTGGCTTACACAATGCCAGCTGCTTAAATAGCTGACCTCAGTGGGTTTGTTCCTGCTTCAGCTTCAGGCTGAGCTTGTACTTGCCTTGTCACTGTGCAAGGAAGGACCATTGCTCTGCAGAATGTTCCTCCTGAGTTCCAAAATTGTGTCCAAAGTATATTGTCTTCACTGTATACTCGCTGAAGACTGTCAGTTTGCTCATTCCAAGGAACTGAAAGCTATAACACCCCACACCCTCCCCAGAAAATCCACAGACGTTTAAGATTATTTTGACATCTTCCAGCCTCTAATTACTGATTCTTGTCTCCTTATTCCAGTATTATTATGGATCATGAAGGCAGTGGCACAGTGGTAATGTCATTGAACTAGTAATCCAGAGCCCTAAGGGTTTGAATCCCACCTTGGCAGATGATAAAATTTGAATTCAACAAAATATCATAGATGTAAAGCTAGCCTAATGGTGACCATGTAACCAATGTCAGGTGGAGGTAGGGAGAGATTGGTGCAAGGACATAAAAAAAGTAGTCATTAAAATGTCCAAACAAATTTTTGTCAGAATTAAAAAAAACTAAATATTCATTGACTTTTGTCAATGTCAATGGTATAAAAACCCATCTGGCTCACTGATGTCCATTAAGGAAGGAAATCTGCCATTCTCACCTGATCTGGCCTACCTGTGACTCCAGACACACAGCAATTGGCTGACTCTTAAATCTCTGTTCAGATGCCCACATCCCATGAATGAATTTTTTAAAAAAGGCTTTCATTTACGTTTCTCAATGTTAAAAAGCACCTCTCTTTGCCATATTTCTACATAGTCATAAATTTGGGACATTTTGTGTCATGAGTTTGGTAGCAGTCAATTATGACCAAATTCTTTTTTACATCTCACATGTTGTGTAGACTGGGATTTTGCTTTTTATGCATCTCTCCCAGGAGATTAACTTGGCATTGGGTAATCCAGGGAACATGTCTATTATAGCACAGAAGGCATTGCAGTTGTGTGTGGAGCAGGTTAGATAGACTTATGATTCTTCTCAGGTCCATATGATCATCAATCAATGAAGATTAAAGATAATCCAAGTAGAGAACGGACAGTGTCTTAACCATTTCCTAACCTAAGCTCCCTCTCCACCTTAAACTTAGAACAATTTTCATGGTACCATCATTTATAACTCCCAAATTGTGCCAGTTTGAGTGGTTTTGTGCCACAGATAAGTGCCGAACAAGACCAGAGCTGAGATTCTCCAAACTCAGTTTTCCAATCATCTTCAAAATGTCCAATAGAATAAGAAGGCTTTCAGCCATTTGTCTTGCCTGGTTTCTCTCAGGTGCTTCAGGTGGAGTGCTGGAGCAATAACACAATGAATGCACCTCCAGGTCCCTCTCCCCCTCATTTGGCATGGACTCTGAGGTTCATATTGCCATTCATCTAGTGGCTTTGTGCAGTATGTTACCGTGGGCTGTTGTGTCATGGGAAAATTGAATTTGAGTTTAGAAAGTGCCCATGTGTTGTGGAGTCTAAGTAGATGGTGAACATATGCGCCTTCATGAACTTTCATACATAATCCCTGTCCTTTCAATATATTTGATTTATCACTGTCACATGTACTGAGGTACAGTGAAAAGTGTTGTCTTTACATGCTTGATAGGCAGATTGTGTATACACGTGCATCAGGATAACAAAATAGAGTGCAGGATATAATGTTACAGCTGCCGAGAAGGTGCAGCGAGAGATCAACATTAAATTTAAAGAGGTCCATTCAGAATTCAATATTTCCTACATTACAGCAGTGAACAATGCTTTGTACTTTGGAGCATTCTGAAGTTGTGAAAGATATAAATGTGTATCTCCCTTTTATAAGCTGCCAACAGCCAATTATGGTTTGGCAGAAATCTAGGAATAAAAGCCCTGTAATCTCTTCCTTTTGGCCAGGGCAGGCAAGTGTTTTGAGGGGCAAAATTTGTTTGTACTGTAATACCACATCTGGAAATCAATCAGCTCTTACTTAAACACTTTTACAATGCATACCTCTTACAGTATATTGATTGATTGATATTTCTGTCTTTTTCTGCCCATCAGTGACTGGAGCTGCTGAGCCTACGAAGGAAACGGCTGAGAGATTTATTGGAAAAGCAGTTGGAAATAGTGATGTTTGGTTCCGATTTAACGAAGGAGTTTCAAATGCTGTTAGACGCAATGTTTACATAAAAGACCTGCTGTAAGAATGTGGCTGGTCATTGGAAGAAGTAACTGCTGTTTAAAAATCAGAAAAGAGCCTGTACATTCTCCTACAGAGCGCAGAATGGAACTGTCAATTTTGGGTCTACAGTGCAAACTTGCCTGTGCCCAAAGCTGCAGTAGGAGATGACATTCAGTCTGATTATTGGGCCACCAAGTGGCTAAACTGTTGAACATTGTGAGCTTTGAGCAACAGCAGTGCAACGTGAATCTAAAATTGCTGCTGAGTTTGCATCTAAGTAGGTTTGGAATCTAGTTATTTCCACAAAATATGGGCAAACTGTTCTCCCCTCCAAAATTGAGTGTTTACTGTAAAGTGCAATCGGCATAACCTGAACGAACTTGCCAGGAGCCCAATGCCTACGGTAGATTGGCAAAACCAAGAAGCCCATTGATAAGCCTAGCCAGCTAGTTTGGATCCAGTTCCTTTTGGAATATTATTTAAATGGTTTTTGTTTCAGGCAACCTGGAATTCCATTGTGAAAGTATGAATAAAGTCTTGCCAATATTAATTATTGCTTTATTTCTTATCTTTCTTTTACATTGTTCCTTTCTAGTTGTACAAAGAAATTGATTGATCACTCATACAATGATTTTGCCTAGAATTACCATAAAATGTACAAAAAATGTAATGCATATGTTTTAAGAATTTAGAAGACTGTGCCAACAAAATTCTCCTCTAGAGTCTCTTTCTTTTACAAATAAATTGCCTTACGCAGAGCAGTTTGAAAATGTCAAAGTATAGCACATTTGCCCTTCTCTACCCAGGGGTTGTTCTTCATTAATTCTGGGTTTAAGAATGGGTCGTTTGGCACTCCCTCTTCTATCCACTTCACAAAGCTTAGGCAATGGAATAAAAGAAAAGAGAGGTGGTTAGTAGTTCAACATTTTGCTCATAGAAACAATAAATGATAAAAATGATTTCAACTTGTGTTAATTTTCAGAATAGACAGTAGTTGCTTTGGCATGTCCCTATTTTAGCAACCTCTTCTTTAAGAGTGTTTTCTTCTTCAGTTATTGTCCTGACAGATGGAATTGATAGGAAGACATATTATCAGCTCACTCTTACCCCTTTTCATTTTCAGAGATAGATGTCAACTTTAATCTTTTAGTTTTTCTCAAAGACCTTTCATCTGATCTCCCTGTGGCCAAACATATTTAATGCACAAGAGAGCATTGATTGGCTGGTGCAGATTTCCATGGATAGGAGCCTCCTGGGGTCAGCTGCAAAGTATCTTCAGAGAAAGAACTAGTTTCAAATAAAATAAGACTCCTCAGTGAAACTGCAGTAAGTTTGAAGATGAGTTAGATATTACTCAAATCATTAATACTTCTCTTTCCGCAGATGGTGCCAGATTTGAGTTTTTTCAGCACAATGGTTTTATTCCAGAATTTGCAATATTTCGCTTTTAAATATTCAAAATATCTCCTCGCACCATGGCATCAAATGTTGGAAACTTGTACTTCACTCCTCAGCCCCGTACCTGCCTCCACACACTGTTGTATTAGCTTAGGCCAAATAAAGGATATTTCTAACTACAGAATGAGGTGATGTAGATCAGCAGGCGGAGCGTCTCTAACCCCAAGAATAAAGAACAATGGCTCAACTGAGCCACAGAACAAGACAGTTTCTGGTTTTCTATCCTCAATTTGCATTCAGTTCTTCATTTTTAGCCAGGGTCTTGACTAGGGACTTGTACTTAGCCTCCAGTCTCCTGGACAAAAGGTACACAATAGGATTTAAACAAAGAACAAAAACAAAGTTGCTGGAAAAGCTCAGCAGGTCTGGCAGTATCTGTGAAGGAAAAAACAGAGTTAACATTTTGTGATTGCTAACCCCCTCTGAAGAAGTAAACTTGGGAGACTGGCAAGTACAAGGTTTGGGTTCAGTAGTGAAATTCAGCACAAAAAAAATTACTGCAATACTGAGGGAATTCTGTACTGTTAGCAGTGCCAATTTCCATGTGAGTTATTAAACAAGTCTGAGCTTCTCTGACTGACATAAAAGATCTTGCAAGGGACAGTATTTTGAAGAGGAGTAGTGCACACTTCCTGGTGTTTTGGCTAATATTTATACCTCAACCAACACCACTAAAGAGCAGGAGATTTGATTTTTACATTGCTGCTTGTGGGAGTTCACACTGCTTTAAGTTAACTGTTGCATTTCCTACACTAGGAAAGTGACAACACTTCATTAGTGTTTAATTGACTGTTAGCACTTTAGGATGTCCTCATTTCATGAACAATGTTATCTAAAAGCAAGGTTTTTTTATTCTTATAGCAACGCATGTATGTCAGATAAATGCAGTTGAACAAAGCTACTCTGGTTGTACGGCACAATATAACTGGCTCAACCCCACTGATTCAATGAACAGGAGTATTTCTCAAAGGTTAAAGCCAGGTGCATACAAAAACATGGAGCTGAAATCTCCCGTTTTGAGCAACATTTGGATGAAATACAGACCAGTGAACAAAGGCTTGATTCAGAGCAGCTTTTAGCTGTTTTTGTTGACGGTACTTAACATTGACTAAGCTAGATGCTACAAATGGATTCCCGTTGAGCTCAAGAATGCACACGGGGGAGTGACAGGAGGAACCAAGTGAAATGGAGATAATGGCTTGGGATAAATAAAAAGAGAGTTTGCCAGTATACTGCTTAGTGATGGCATACGGAAAATCCATTCAGTGATGGAGAATGGACTGAACTTTTATATAATTGCAAAGCTTATTTTGTTCCTTTCCTGTTTTCTTCATACCTTATTATTCTTAAGGGCAATGCTTGAAAATGCTATACAAGTAATAGAGCTTAATTTTTGTTTGGCTGGAAGGAGGCTTGTATGGAAGATAAACACAAATGTAGATCGGTTGTGTTGCATTGTCTGCTTCTGTAACTGTAAATGGCTGCAATTTATAGGCGATTTTTGGAACTGGAAGACAGAAATTCAAAAAAAGCCTGTTGAGCCTTGTACGGTTTATTGGCATGTTATTTTTGTTCTGCTTCTTCTACTAATGGATTTTCCTGATTTATTTTGACTGGAGTTACTACTTTTATGGGTGTTGGTATTGAAACAATCCATTATCATGTTCTCAACTACAGGAATTTTAAACAAAACCTATGGTTTTCATTTGTACGTGTTTAACCTGTGATGACAGATTTCAGTTTGATTGATGAGTCCTAGAGTCAGGAACAGCTCCTATTGTCGTACAGCAGGCCAGGATAGGATTCTTGTAGTGCAGTGGTAATGTCCCAAGCCCTGGATCAGAAGGCCTGGGTTCAAGTCCCACCTGCCCCAAAAGTGTGTCATAAATGCCTGAACAGGTTGATTCAAAATTTTAAAGCAGGCCAAACATTCTAAAGAAGAATCATATTGGACTTGCAATGTTCATTCTGTTTCTCTCTCCACAAATGTTGCCATACCTGCTGAGTTTCTGCAGCACTTTCTCTTTTTTTTGTTTCAGATTTCCAAAGTTCACAGTTTTTTGCTTTTGCTGAGTGATGTAATTTTACTCCAGTTGCAATGGTGGCAAGGAACAATAAAACTAGACCACTAATTACTGTTCTCCTTTATCCCATAATAAGTTGCTGCCAATCCAGTGGGGTTAGAATTACAATCACATTGCTTCAACCATGCCGCCTTGATATATAGGCGGAGACAAACCCACTTCAAGGAAATGGACTGCAGCATTGAATATGGTATAATCAGGTTGTGAGCCTAATTGTCATCCTGCTTTTGGAATTTAACCCAGAAGCTTTTGTGGGGTAACGCTTTAATGAATTCAGGGGTGAAGTGCCCTCACATCTATGACCTGCGTCTTCTGTAATCAAGTCTGCACCTCATTACCTGAACCGAGGCCTCTGATCCCAATCTCCCACCAGCCTCCCAACTCACTCAACCCAAAGACTCCCACTTAACCCACTCCTACCTAGACTGAACTGCACAGCCCTTCCCTGGAATCCTGTAGTCCACATTCCCCCAGTCTGTGATTTCAACCCCCACTGCCTCTGACTTCCCCTTCAGCCCCCACTTGCCCCCTTGAATAGGAAGCAATGTTTTCACTCCGAATCACCCCTGCCTCACCAACATCCCACTCATCTACCCTTTCAAGACAATACTACCATACACAAACAATGTTCCTATCAGTTTAATGCACTTATTAACACTTAACTGGAAGAATGGCCGTTTGGTTGGGGTGTGAAGTGCTATTAATATTTGTAGGTCGGAACCTCAGCATCAGTCAGGACTCAGGAAAGTTGGGAGAACAGAAACTTCTTCATTTTAAAGAAAATATTTATAGATTTTTGGTGGCTAGGCTGGCATTTGTTGCCAATTCCGAATTGCCTAGAGAATGGTGGTGAACTGCTGAAGTCCATATGCTATGGATACACCCATAATGTTGTTACGTAAGGGGTTTGAGGAATTTGACCCCACCACCGTGAAGGAATTGCGATATAGTTCCTAGGCAGATTGTCAGCTACTCTTATCCTGCTATGTGGTAGAGGTCACTGGTTTGGAAGGTGCTTTTTGGTGAGTTGGGGTAATGCATTTTGCATATAGCACACTGCTACCACTGTACTCAGTGTGGAGGGAGGGAATGTTTCAGTTTTTGGATGGGGCTGATTAAAGCTGACATTGCTTTCTCTTGGATGATGTTGAACTTCAGTGTTGTTGGAATTACATTCATCCAGGCAAGTGTGGCATATTCCATCACACTGCTGATATGTGCCTTGTAGATGGTGACAGGCTTTGGGGAGTCAAGTGGAGGGGTTTTCTCCACAGAATTCCCAGCCTCTGACCTGCTCTTGTGGACACTGTATTTATAGGGATGGCCCAGCTGTGTTTTCTGGTCAACAGTAACCACCAAGTTATATTCAGTAGGGGATCCAGCAATGGAAATGACATTGAATCGCAAGGGGAGATGGTCAGATGCTGTCTTATTAGAAATGGCTGTTGCATGACATTTTAGTGGCATGAATGGTACTTGCCACTTCTCAGCACAAGCTGAACATTGTTCAGGTACACATGGACTGTTTCAGAATACAAAGTTCAGTAATAGTGACCGTCATTGATTACCTTAAAAACCCATGTAGTTCTCAGATGGGGAGGGAAATCTGTCTTTATCTAGTCTGGCCTACATGTGATTGTTACAAGTCTTCAATGTGGTTGATTCTTAATTGGCCTTACAATTCGGGCTGGTTCTGTCAGCAACATCCACATCCCATGACACAACACATTTTAAAATAGAGTTTCTGAGGAGTTATAAATGATACTGGTCATTGTGCCAATCATCAGGGACCTTCTCCCACTTCTGACCTTACAATGGACAGAAAGTCATTGATGAAGCAGCTGAAGATGGTCACACTGAGGACACTACCCTGAGCAACTCTTGCTTCAATGTCCTGGGACTAAGCTGATATAAATAAAAGATTTCCTACCATATTAAAGTGCACAGCAATCACTCCCACTGTAACTTTTTTTTTTCTGAACTTATACTGTGATCACCTATTGAAATTCTGTCCACTGAATCAATATTGCTACAGACTGCATGAACCAGTTACTTAGCCAAGCATTAACTATCCCACATTACACTGGAGCTTCCAAAATTACCTTGTCCTGGGAATCAAAAACTTAAATGTTGCTAAAAATGTAGAATGGTGATATCCTGCAGCAATTTCACTTTGTAGTGGGTTATGAAGAATGTATTATTTAATTGGGTCCATAAGTTCCAACTATAGAATCTGATTGGATATTACATATCAGAAAAGCAGGTGCGTATGTATTGATAATTGATACATTTTTTATTAGAGTTCCATTTTAAATATATAATTTTAAAATTTTAAACAATATTGAATGCCGCAGAATTATTTTTAGATGCAGTTTGGTTTCTGACTGTGTTGAGCCCTAATTCTGTGGTATCAATCAATTTTTGTCCATTCAATTGTTCTTCCCCTTGCTCCCAAGCTTGTATCAACACTTTGCAATTATCTCTCACAATCTAAGGTGCTTTATTCGTACTTGGCATAAAGTGTTGTTGACAAGGCCAGCCTTTATTGCTGCTCCATAATTGTCCTTGAGGAGGTGATTGGAGGCTACCTTCTCAAACCGCTGCAGTCCTTGTGGTTTAGGGACACCACAGTGCTGCTATTGGAGGGTTCCAAGTTTTTGATGCAGGGACAGTAAAGATGGAAGCAATATATGCCTAGTTCAGGATGGTCTTCAGCTGGGAAGTGAACATCACCCTTCAAAGTCCCAAGAACACACAAAGATAAGGAAAAAAACAGTGCTGCCAATTTGAACATACCTCAGAACCTATGTACCCTAACCCAACAAGTAACACCGATTGATCTACTGATCCACCTACAACAGGGAATTCTGAAGCAGTGACTTTGGCCAGATTAGCGGCTAAACATCACACTAATGCTTCAGAGCTGAGATGGTGGCGAGTAACCTGCTGTTGGATTGTAATCAATTCTGATCTTTGTCTAGTAAAGCCGAGAACAGTTGGAGAAGCTAATCCTTCACACTGTCCCTGCTTCGTTGTGGAATGTGATATTTTTCCAATCAATGCAGAGTGGTCCTGGTCAGGTACTTAACAACACTGCGTTGTACTATCACCCTGCCTGTTTTTGTGCTGTCAAAAAGTGTGTTGGTAGATCATTGAAGCCATGCCATTCAGGACTACTCACCTTATAGGCCCAGCCAGCATGGGACAAGGATCAGCACTGCTCATTGACAACACTCTCACCTCTGAGACTGAGATCATCAATTCAAGCCCCACAACATGACTTATCCAGCCCTTTATACTTTACATGTTAAATAGCTTCACCCATCAAGGTCCAATGGTTTTAAAAACAAACCAGGATCTACAGCTCCCAAGCTGATTTGTACCACGGTATTATACGAAAGGAAAGTATACATTTTGTGCAATTTTTGGGGAGATGCAGCAGAAAAAACTCTCCTAGTGGTTTCTCACTCTTTATCGTAGGGTGGATTTATCTTTCTTCAAGTTCTGGCTACAAATGGAGTCATTAATGTTTGAAGAAAATCTTGTAGCACACATTCCATTTAGTGCAGGTTCATTTTCAGAAGGATGTTAGGAAGGACAGTGATACTGGAGTATTTTTGCCTCTATACTTGCAGAGGCTGGCATAGCAAGAGTTACAGGAGGGCCAAAGGGCTAGTGGAAGTGTGATTAATTAGCGTTACACAAAATGTTTTGACTATTCGAAAAGTTGAGGGGTTTGACATTGATCAAATACAAGGCCCATAACACTGAGGGAGGTTAGTGATGGAAAAGCATTGACACTAACAAAAACCTTAGGAACTTGTGAACAGCGGTGGGGCAGACCGGCCCTTCAGCCGGTTCTACTATTCAATGAGATCATGGCTAGCTCTATCCCAGCTCCACTTATATACCTCAGCTCCAGGTACACCAGTTACCCCTGTTGCAATAACGTAATACAGCTGAATACAATAATAAAGGATAACATTCATCTTATAAAATAATGAGTATGCAGAGAGAGTCAACATGGATTTATAAAGGGCAAATCATGCTGAATTGATTTAATTAAATGCTTTAGAAAATTGCCAACTATTTAGTCAAGGAGGCAGAATGTGAATTTGATACTTTTAGATTTCGAAAAAAAAATGGCATATCGAAAATGTGTGAATTGGCAAGATGTAATTACTGGTGTGAAATTTGAATTGCTCTCAATACAATACATAAATGATTTGGGTACGCGATTTGGAGGAATAATACTAAACATTAATTGGGAGAAGGGGGTTTGATCCTGTCTGATAACGAAAATGTGTTGCGTAGAATTTTACAGCACAGAAACAGGCCATTCTGCCCAACAAGTCTATGCTGGTGTGTATGCTGCATTCAAGCCTCTTCCCACCTTATTTCATCTAGTCTTACCAGCATATGCATTTATTCACTCCCCTCCCTTCATAAAACTTGTTTAGCTTTTACTTGTACTACGCAACTATATTGTGTGATGGTTAGATCCACATTCTGGATGCAGAGGTTTCTCCTGAGCACAGCTTGTTTGAGATACTCAAGATTGCCTTATATCTATGGGCATCCCAATAAGCATAAAGATTTTCTAACCTGTCAAAACTCTTTGTTATTTTAAGTACCTTTAAATTTACATTTCCATGATTCTGTGAAAACCTTAAAGCAGTAATAGAGCTGCCTTTTGAAGGGAATTGAGCACACCATTAGACACAATGAGACAGTGTTCCATTCTCACTCTCATCTGTCATCTTAGTCACAACATTAAGACAGAATTTCGAGCTTACTCAGGGATTGTTTTGGAAGACATCTCCCTCTTATACAACAGCTGGTACTTCAGACTATCCACTTCCTTCTTGAACTGTGGAACGTCCCAATCTTCCATGGCCACTGATTGTTTTTAATTGATTTCTTTACAGAGAGGAGAGAAAGAAAATCTGAAAAACAGGTCAAAAACAAAGAAGTTTCAATCTGAACAATCTGGAAAGGATGTTTCAGTCTTCGTGATTGAACATCATCAAATATTTAACTGCAGTGTTGTCACTACAGAACCAAGATGTTAAGTCCAGTTTCACATCTGCATAATATGACGTGTCAAATAAGCCATAATAAGACTATAAGACATAGGAGCAGAAGTAGGATATTCAACCATTGAGTCTATTCCATCATTCAATGAGATCATGACTGGTCTGATAATCCTCAACTCCACTTATCCTCATAACCCTTGATTCTGATAAAACTCTATCGTACTATTGAATACACTTAACCCAGCCTCAACAGCCCTCTGTGGTAAAGAATTCCACAGATCCACTATCCTCTGAGAGAAGAAATTCCTCCTCCTCTCTGTCTTAAATGAGAAATCCCTTCTTCTAAGATTATGCCCTCTGCGCATAGACACTCTCACAAGGGCAAACAATTTTCCTACATCTACCCTGTCAAGTTCCCTAAGAATTTGATATCTTTCAATAACATCTCCTCTCATTCTCCTGAACTCCAGTGAGTACAAGTCTAACCTACTCAACATCTCCGCATTAGAAAATCCATCCACTTCCAAAATCAACCTTGTGAACCTTGCCCTGACTGCTTCCAAATCCAGTGTATCTTTCCTTAGACAAAGGTACCTCAATTATTCACAGTATTCTAGCTGTGGCCTAACCAGCGCCATGTACAATTTCAGCAAGACCTCTTTATTTTAATGCTCCATTCACTTTGAGATTAAAGGTCAACATTTCATTTGCCTTCCTTACCACCTACTGAATTGTATGCTAGTTTTACGTGATTAATGCATGAGGACCCCCAAACCCCTCTGTGGTCCAGCTTTCTGCAGTCCTTCCCCATTTAAATAATATTCTTCTATTCTTCCCATCAAAGTATATAATCTTACATTTCCCCACATTTTGCCATGTTTTCGTCCAATCACTTAATCCCTCTGTAGTCTCTGTGTCATCCTCACCAGTTGTCCTCCACCTATTTATGTGTCATCTGGAAACTTGGTGATAGTCCATTCATTTCTGCCGTTCAAGTCATTAATATATATTGTAAGTAATGTGGCTCATGCTAACTGCAGCCACTAATTACAGGTTGCCTTTCTGAGAATGCCCCTTTATCCCAACTCTCAGGCTTCTATGAGTCAGCCAATCTTTAATCCATGATAATATCCTACCCTCTACACCATGGGTTCTTATTAAGTAGTCTTATGAGTGGTACCTTCTCAAATGCCTTTTGGAAATCCAAATATATCACAGCAACCTGTCCGCCCTTATCTACCCTACTTGTTACCTCCTCAAAGAACTGTAATAAATTTGTCAGGCATGATTTCCGTTTTGTGAAGCTACGCCAATTCTGCTTGATTATATTATGTATTTCTAAATGCTCTGCTGTTACGTCCTTATAATTGGCTCTAACATTTTCCCAACGTTAAGTTGACTGGCCTGTAGTTACCTTTTATTTGTCTCCTTCCCTTTCGAAAAAAAAGGTGTTACATCAGCAGTTTTCCAATCCAACTTTTCCAGAATCTAAGGATACTTGCAAGATTACTACCAATTTGTCCATTATTTCTGTAGCTACTTCCTTTAACATCCTCAGAAACATTCCACCAGGTCCAGGAAACTTATCATCCTTTAAACCTACTAGTTTCCCCAGTAATTTTCTTGAGTGATAGTTATCATGTTTATTTCCTCTCCTCCCTTTGATCCTTGAATTTTGGAATGCTTTACTGTGATGGCTGCTACAAAATATTTATTTAACTCCTCTGCCATTCCCTAGCTCCCCATGTAGTTTTCATTATCTAAGGGGCCTATGTTCACTGTTGCCTCTCTCTTTTTTACATATTTAAAGAAGCTCTTACTGCCTGTTTTGTATGTACTTGCTAATTTTCACTTTTTTTATATTTTGTTTGCTTTCAAAACTTTCCCAATCCTGATTTATCACTAATCTTTGCCACATTGTATGTTTATTTTTCCCATTTAATGCTGTCCTTAACTTCCCTGTCTGACCATGGTTGTTTTTTCCACTTGCTAGAATCTTTCTTCCTCATTGGGATACACTTCCGCTGTGAGTCTCTTATTATTTTAAACATCTGCCATTGTGCATCAAGCATCTTTTGTGCTAAACTCCTCCCAGTTCACTCCTGCCCTAGTTCCCATGTAATTACCCTCTTTTAAGGAAATATCCAGGAGACCAGTCGTGATTCTGAATCATCCAGATCAGAGAAGCCTCAAAGCCAATATCTAGTTTTTGTCAAAATAGTCGTCTCACCTTTTGGATAAAATGATAAATCAAGGTTCCACCCACTATTTATTACAGACCGCAAGGTGTTAGCTGAAAAAGAGCAGGGAAGTTCTACTCAATGTCATGGACAATATTTACTTATGAACTAACATCAGCAAAACAGATTATCTGGTCATTATCAAATTATCTTGCTCTGATACCTGGTGAAAATGACGACACTTCAAAAGTACTTTATTGTCTGTAACAAAGGAAGTAATGAAAGGCACTATATAAATTCAATTATTTCTCTCTTTGCTATCCCTACAATCTCCTTGACTCACACAACCCGCGATACCCCTGCATTCATCTAATTCTGACTCCTTGAGAATCCCCATTTTAATCACTCCACCATTGCTGGTCACAATTTTGGTTGCCCAGAGGTGTGGAGTTCTCTATACCTCACCTCTCTACCTCACTTTCTTCTATTAAACTTACTTCTGTGACCAAGCTTTTGATGTCAGGATCCAATATCTGTTTACAATTTTTTATTAACACCCACGTGAAGCGTCCAGGACATTTTATAATGAAAAAGGTGTCATATAAATACAAGTTGTTGTACTTTAATTAATGAGATGGTTAAACCCAGTTTTAAACCCAGTTGTAATACATTGCCACTTTCACGCTCACATCCTACCCACATTACCAGATAGTCTGTTGATGCTGACCATCTGGCCTCATATGTGAATACCAGCCACTTGGAAGTTCTGCCGGAGGCAACACTGTCGATGCACATTCATGAGAACGGAAATTCTTTGCACTAAATGTTCACCTACCTTTCTCAATGCATAAAAGCCACTTCCTGTTTCTATTTATATGACAGATTCCAAGGTATTTTACAGCATGTAGGTAATTAGAGAAAGACCTAGTTTTTATCTGAAAACATATATTCACTCTATGTGCACTCTATAAATGGACAGCCAAGCCTGGGGATATTGTACAATGTTCTCCCAGTTCCTGTGTAGCTGATTCCAGAAGTGGTCCTTATCTTCGTCCTCTGAGTGCTATTTCTTAGTATGTTAACTGAGCCAGGATGACTCCACGGGGAAGATGTGACTAACACCGGACTGTGGATTATATAATCTGGAAACAATTTTTCAGAGAAGTAATCATGCGATCAACATCGTTGTGCCTATTTCATGCCAACTAAATTCAGCCAGCGAGTCAGGGGCTCTGGGGATGGTAGGGGTCCTGTAAACCCCTGACTTGAGAGACAGTGAGAAAGGGATTGAAGTATGAAAGGGTGGGAAATAGGGTGCTCCTTGGGTACAATGGAACCCCGAAAGATTGATGCAGGCCATGAACACATAATCTCACTGTGTCCACTACCGAAAATTTTGAAAGACTTCTATTGCTGTCGTCACAGATAACATTATGCTGTAGCACCGCCGCCACCACCCCACCAACATTCCCCCTCCTCCCCCCACCCCCCGCCACCCCTACCATCTATCCTATTTGTTTAATATCTCCAAGTAAACAAAGTTGTTCATTTAGAATCTGAGCCCAGGCCATACGAAATGTGTTGACTTGGAGTGAAATACAGATGGCACTACCCATCCAGTAATGTCAGAGTTCCAAGGTAGTACAAAGTGTTTGAGGGGGCTAGACCACTTCAAGGTTACAGTTTCTGGTTTGAAAGGTTCACATGTTCACTTATCAGAGAGGTAGCAAGAGTTCTGCAAGAGAGATGTGGGAAATAACCATAGGGTCAAAGAGTTGTACAGCACAGAAACAGACCCTTTGGTCCAACTCGTCCGTGCCAACCAGATATCCTAAATTAATCTAGTCCCACCATGCCAGCAGATATATATATCCTCAGAGTGGAGAATGATTATATCAGTCTTAGGTTTAAGGTGAGAGGGGAAAGATATAAAAAGGACCTAAGGGGCAGCCTTTTCATGCAGAGGGTGGTGCAAGTATGAAATTAGCTGCCACAGGAAGTGGTGGAGGCTGGCACAATTACAACGTTTAAAAGGCATCTGGATGGGTACATGAATAGGAAGGCTTTAGAGGGATATGGGCCAAATGCTGGCAAATGGGACTAGATTAATTTAGGATATCAGGTCAGTATGGACAAGTTGGACCGAAGGGGCTCCAGTGTGAACCTAAAAAATAACACCATTGGGTTCAGCTGAGCTAATGAATTTGTTTTGCAGTTATCAGACTGCAAAAGGAGGGTTTCCAAATTCACTCACACCACCAACAAATGCAGCACTTCTACAGCATGTTTAACATGGGCAAGTTATCAAACACAATGTATTACCAAGCCACAGAACAACATAGTAAGACAGATGATCAAAGTGTCAGCCGAAGAGGTAGTAGTAAGGAACATGTTAAAGGAGGAAAGAAAGACAAAGTCTATGGATAAAATTTCAAAAATTCGGGCCTTGGCAGCTTAAGGCAGTGATGGACTCATTAAAACCAGGAATGTTCATAAGACCGGAATGAGAAGAGGGCAGAGCTTTAAAACTTTTAGGGCTGTATGTGGTTATGGAGGTAGGGAAGAGATTTGATGGCAATTTTAAAAAGAGTATCACTAAAAACCCCACCCACAGTGGTTTCTTACTGTCTCTTTAACATAATCATCAAGTCACCAGGCTACGATGCCAGTTTTGTATCTGTTCTGAAGAAATCAACCTCCAAATGTCACTTGAACCATTTCTAGCTGCCTGTCGCAAGGAAGGATTTTGTGCAGGTTGCTTGAACCCAATCTGAACAGAGTAAAAGAGTCAATAACAGCTCTAAGTTTTAAAGGTATGAAGGTAGCTAGGTTATCTCAACCACTTTGCTGTCTTAAGAGCCTCTTCCTTGGGGTTGCTAACCCTCAGATACTGAATTAGAGTCTCCAGTCATTAGAAGTTAATCCAGGCATTGCTTGGTGCAACTCAGGAAAACAATTACAGGCAACTTAAACAATCATCTATGATTTTCTTGGAACAGGTAAGAATTATGGGAGGTATGATAAGATGGTTGTCTGATAGTCAAGCACCAGCCAGCAGGTAATTAAGAGCGTGCTTGCTCTCAAATTGGAGTTGGCAACCTATACATCAGGTCATGTCAGTAAATCAGTGATGGTAATGTTGGAATGAGTGATTGGTGTTGGGAGGGTACTGGGCAAAGCCTCTAGGATGCATCCAGCTTCAGTAGAAGTACAATTAATATTTGAGGTCAATGACCTTTCATCAGAACTCAATCACTACACCGCGCCAGTCCTCCTTGATTTCAAAACACGCCCCCGCCACATTTGAGTTGAATTGTGAGGCAAGCAAAGGGGAGTGCAGAACTGCCAATGTAACACCCTTATTCAAGAAGGGAGGAAGAGAAAACACTGTTAACAATGAGTCAGTTAGCTTTACGTCTGTCATTGGGACAAGGTTTAGAGCCTATTATATTGGATTTAATACTCGAACATTTAGAAATAGCTAATATAACAAAGCAGAGACAGCATGGTTCATGAAAGGGAAATCATGCCTGACAAATTTATTACAGTTCTTTGAGGAGGAAACAAGCAGGATAGATAAAGGGAACCCAGTAGATGCAATATATTTGGATTTTCTAAAGGTATTCAACAGGTACTGCACACAACGCTACTTAATAAGATGAGGCCATGGTGCTGGGGGCAGTTTATTAGCAAGAATACGGGATTGGCTAACTAGTTGAAGAAAGTGAGTTGGGACAAAGGGGGTATTTTTGAGATGGAAACCTGTAACTAGTCTATTGAGGAATTTAGACAGGTTGAATACGTGGGCAAAAACTTGGCAAAAGGAATATAATATGGGAAACTGTGGGATTAGGCACATTGCAGGAAGGATAGAAGAACTGAATATAATTTGAATGGAGAAGGGCTGCAGAAAGCTACAGAACAAGGGCATTGGCGGTCCTTGTGCATGAATCATAAAAAGCTAGCATTCAAGTTCAGCAAATAATTGGGAAGGCAAATGAACTGATAGTTTTTATTTCAAAGGGAATGGAGTATAAAAAAATAGGGTGGTCTTGCCAAAACTGTACTAGGTAGTCACTGGAGTACCAAAACAAAACAACGTACTGCAAATGCTGGAGATCTGAAATAAAAACAGAAACTGTTGGGGAAACCCAGCAGGTCTGATGGCATCATAGAATCCATACAGTGTGGAAACAGGCCATTCAGCCCACCAAGTCCACACCGCCCTTCTGAAGAGCATCCCACCCAGACCCATTCCCCTACCCTTTCCCCATAACCTGGCACTTCCCACGTCTAATCCACCTAATTTACATACCCCTGGATACCATGGGCAATTTCCCATGGCCAATCCACCTAACATGCACATCTTTGGACTGTGGGAGGAAAACCACACAGACACAGGGAGAATGTGCAACTCCACACAGATAGTCACCCGAGGCTGGAATCAAATCTGGGTCCCTGGCGCTGTGGGGCAACAGTGCTAACCACTGAGCCAGCATGCCACATCTGAGGGGAGAAAGAAGAGTTAACATCTCAAGTTCAGTGACTTTTCATCTGAACTGACGATAATCAAATAAAAAGTGATGTTTATGCTGAAGCAAAAGTTGGAGAGGGCGAGGTGAGTGGTAAGCAAATAGATAGAGACGGAGCCTAGAGAGAGAGATATGAAAGGGATGAGAGATGAGGGGATTATTGATAACAGATGAGGACAGAAGAGAAGCTGAATAAGTGATAATGAGAGCCAGGAGTAGGAGAGAATGGGTAGGCTGTGCTAAGAGCAACCCATGTCATGACAGGACCAGGGTGTGAGGGTGGGTAAAAAATTTGGAAGGTCAGAGTCAGACTCTAAAATTATTAAACTTGACGTTGAGCCCTAGAGGCTACAGGGTCCCCAAGTGGAAAACGAAATGTTATTCTTCTGTGCTCGGACATGGCAGCAAGCCTGTGACCGAAATATTGGCATGGGAACAAGGCGATGTGTTGAAGTGGCAGGCAACTGGAAGCTCAGGGTCATTGTTACAGACAGAACATAGGTGTTTGGCAAAGCAGTCACCCAGTCTGTGTTTTGTCTCCCCAAATGCAGAGGAGACCACATTGTGCACAGTGAATACCGAGATTGAATGAAATGCAGGGAAATGTCTACTTCAACTGGAAGGTATGTATTCTCAACTACACCTGGAATACTGTGAACAGTTTTGGGTTCCTTATCCAAGGAAAGATACAGTAGCATTGGAGGCAGTCCAGAGTGGGTTCACTAGGTTGATGCTGGATATAGGAGCATTTCCTTATGAGAAGAGGTTGAGTAGGTTGGGCCTGAACTCAATGAAGTTTAGAACAATGAGGAAACGTTACCGAAACATATCAGATTCTTAGGGACCTGACAGGGTAGATGTGGAGTTGTTTCCCATTATCGGAGAGTCTAGGATCAGTGGGCACTATCTCAGAATAAGGAAGTACTCCATTTAAAACAGAAATGAGGACGAACTTAATTGGTTAGACGTTATTGAGCATGGGAAATTCATTAGAGACTGGGTTGTTAAGTATATTCAAGGGTGAGATATACAGAGTTTTAATCTGTGAGGAAATTGAGAGTTATGGGGAATAGGCAGGAAAGCAGAGTTGGAGATGATCAGGTCAGCCATGATCCCACTGAATGACGGAGCAGACTCAATGGGCCGAATGGCCTACTTCTGCCTCTATGTCTTATGGAGTGAACCCACTGCACAAGGAGATGGGCTGAAGATGATGTCTGACAATATCCTTCTCTGCCTGCTGCCAAGGTCGCCCCCTGTAGGCTGGATCCTGACAAAGGCAGCGAGGCTGGGAGCAGCCGGAACTTGAATCTGCAGGAGATGGAACAACAAAAGCCGGAGCTGGTATGCCCTGGTCCTTATTTAAAACCAATCTCGGCACATGTTCACCTTCTCAATATTTCTTTGGATTCCAACACTGTTGAGCGAACCCTCATTTAAAATTGGCTTCGTCGTTGTCCATCTCGTTACTTTCATAGCGAGGTTAGGTTTCCAACCATTCAAACATATTGGGCAGTACGGCACCGTCTACTCAAAGTCTAAACACAGACAACACCCGCCATGGCCGTTCAACAAACTCAACCGAATGAGAACACGAAGAAGGGTCAACTCAGCAGTTTCCCTTTTTTCTCTGCTCCCCCGCCTCCACCTCTGTCCTCCTTCTGAAGGTGCTATTTCCTTCCGCCTTGATCCCAGACCCTGTCCTCAGTTGCCGTTCACTCAGAAGAAGCAGTGCCAATCACCAGAAATCCTCCTCACTTTCGCTTCTCCACTCACAGCCATTCTCTCCAGTAGCTCCCACCCATAGTCTCCATCTCCATCTAAAACAATCCAGACACAACCCCACTCACTCTCTTCCTGCCCGCCTCTCTAATCCACACAATATCTCACTCACACTGGGGGAGCAGACATTACTGAACAAAGGAATCCATTTCAACTGATTCTGACAGTCTTTCTTCCCTCAGTTTCCGCTTACCAATCACTAGTGGGCAAAGCTGGAAGCCAGATGCTGGGAGGCGCAGCGCTGATCAATTGCTGATCAATTTCTCTGGGTCCTAACAGAGGTCGGCACTCGGTCAATCTCTCTCTCCCTTCAGAAGGAAAGGCGCGCCTGATCAATGACTCCTCCACAGCGGGGAACCAGTTGAAATTTGATTTTCACTTGCGGAATACCAAAACAACGCAGAAATATTGTTGTTATTGTTTTTTTTTGTTTTGTCCCGCATGCATTCCGCCCGGCTCCCACGTCTGATTCTCACTGTGGGGCCGGTTTATTCTGGGGAATATTGTCACAAAGACTAACCGTGTACAATACGGAATCCTGATTTCCGGCCGGCTGTTTACCTCCCTGCGGATCTTATCTCCTTTTATTTTGTTCGTCTGACTCAAGAAATATTTAAATAAATAAAAAGAAAATCAGAGGGCCATATCTGAATTTAACCCAGAGAGCAACGGTTCAGTCTTTATTTGGTATAGAAACATATAGATATAGAGAAACACATAAACAGAAATATATAGATATAGGGAAACATATATAGAAACACATGAACAGAAACATATTATACAGAAGCATACAAAAATACAAACAGAAACATACGTCGAAACATATATAGAAACGTACGTACGGAAAAACATAGATATAGAGAAACATATATAGAAAAAATATATAAACATATATATTGAAAAAACAGTTACAAAGAAATATATAGACACATATACATAAACATATCTATATAGAGAAAACATACAGATATAGAGAATCATACATATAGAGAGAGAAACATATATCTATATATGTGTGTTTGTGTATACATTGCACAGTGATGTTGGGTATAAATGGATGTTGGGATGGGTATCACTGGGGAGCAGGACTTGAGAATTACCGTAACATTTCAGATATTCAGTTCGTCGGTAACAGTGAGGGGCACAGAGAGAGACTGGGCGCTTTCCAGATCTTTTTGTATTTAATGACACCACGTTAAAATCGGTGGGCGAGGGAATCTGCTGATAAAATCGGTGTTATATTTGTAATTTGTTACGAATCTGTAACATTTCCTCGCGGCATCGATAATTGCCAGGCCTCGCTTCTAACGCCCTTTTGTTTTCTCTCTGGGTAAAGGAAAGCATTAACTCACCTGCACTTGTCAGTGTACTTTTACAGTCAGCCGACACCTGACTCAAACTGAAGCATCCACTATGGACCACAAAGCAAGTTTGAGCTGAATATATACGGATGTTGTCCCTCTCTCGTTTTCGGAAATGCAAATCCTTCGTGGTAATCTATTAATGGCACTGGCAATCCATTCAGAATGTAGTGCTCAGGGAGAGGATTTACACAGCTCAGCGCTCCTGCTTGTCCTCGCCTCTGCTCCCACTCCCCACACACGAGAGCTGCCAGCGCTGAACTGCAAAAGGCATAAACACGCTCACTGCTTCCTGGTGCCTCATTCCAGGTAATACCGGGGCTGTGGGATGGACTGTAGTCCCTGGCCTCATAGCCACCGCCCCTTGGCAGCACCCATTTGGTTAATTCAATCCCTCAGGGCTGGAGTCAAGCTACACAGGAGAATACCTAATAAAAAAAGGAGAAACTACGGGAAATGCAGACACCGGAAGCATCAACAACCACAATTCATAGTACGAAATAATATTTCGCTTTGCAATTACCCTTGGCGTGTGACTATCTGTGCACAGGCAGTGGACATGAATTAGACAAGCTGCCTGTTTTCTCCATCATTGTCAGTTCTGCACTGTTTCATATTACTGGCTTTAATCTCCATTATACAGCCACGTTTTACAGCACACTCTGCCCCCTACGCTGGCAGAATCACACCCACACTGGTTTGACCAAACATGAAGATTACCTCTGGACAGCTCTCTCACAAAACACCGCGTTCCTCTTTATCCCAGCTCGCAACAACTCAACTCTACAATCAGGCTCGCGTAGAATCCGAACAAATAGATTTCAACATGCTCACGCCCTTATAAAACGGGAGGGTGTGTTCGGACAGTGCAGATGAAATGTTGCCTTGTGCAGGTAGGGACAAGGCGATGGATTTGCTATCCTGGTAGCGACGGATCGAATGGACTGCCTGGGCCATCTTCCTTTGTAAAGGGACCGGCCACTGACTGGAAACTGCATCAGACTGACGCCGACAGAGAAGCAGGCGCCTTCTTGCAGTCTATCCCTCTTTGTGTGAACACAGTGAACCATTTTTACAGTACAGGCTCCCTCCCTCCATATCCTCGGTTTGTTTCATTTGCCTCTTAAAGGGGATGGGACCAAGGTGGGGGAAATGGGATTAAGATGTGGAATCAGCTTTGTTCAAACTGAATGGCAGGGCTAGTTTGAGGGGGCTGAATGGTCACTTCCAGTTCCATCAGCCACACAACTAAGCATTGGCCTTTCCTTTAAAGATTAGCACTGGGCTCAATTCTACGCTTGTTAGACCTTGTCCTGCAGTCTATTGGCACCTCAGTGTGTAGCAGCCTTGCCTCTACGGTAAGAGGTCATAGATTCATAGCCCCACTTAAAAACAAAAATCAAAGCTGCCATACCAAACTGGAAACATTCACTCACTTTCACTCTCATAAGAAGTAGGAGCAAGAATAGGCCATCTGGCCCCTCAAGTCTGCTCCACCATTCGATACGATCACGGCAGATCTTTTCAAGGTCTCAGCTCCACTTAACTGCCCAGTCACCTTTACTGTTCAAAAATCTGTCTATCTTTGTCTTAAAAACATTCAATGAGGTAGCCTCAACTGCTTCACTGGGCAGGGAATTCTACAGATTCTCACAACCCTTTAAGTGAAGACATTCCTCCTCAACTCAGTCTTAAATCTGCTCCCTCTTATTTTGAGGCTATGCCCCCAAGTTCTAGTTTCACCTACCAGTAGAAACAACCTCCCTGCTTCTATCTTATTTATTCCCTTCATAATTGTATATTTTTCTATAAGATCCTCCCTCATTCTTCTAAATTTCAATAAGTATAGTCCCAGTCTACTCAATTTCTCCTCATAATCCAACCCTCTCAGCTCCGGAATCAACCTAGTGAACTTCCTTGATGCTGCCAGACCTGCTGAGTTTCTCCAGCATTCTCTGTACCAGGGGAGTACTGGCCTCACTTGCTGAGACAATGACGGCCCCGCGTCAAGTAAAAGAGCCCTTGGACCATTTTAAAGATAGGTCCAGAATTATTCCCAGTCTTGTGCTCAATATTTATCCCTCAACCAGAAAGAGCTTATGCAGATCCTGCTGTGTGAAAATTGTCTGCTGGATTTCCCACTTTACAACAGGCACTATAATCACCAGCTGCGGAGTGCTAGGTGCTGTTCCGATGCTATGAAAGATGCTGTATAAAACACAAGCTGTATTAAAGCACTTGAAAAACCACCATCTAAAATTTTCCTGCTGAAGTTAAATGGAGGTCCATTCAGTTATTGGACCATCCCGGTGCCTCAAACATATGTAAATATAATCTTGTGCAAGTAACAAATGCCTTTGATTTATTTAGAGATAACACAGTGTGGAGCTGGAGGAACACAGCATGCCAGGAAGCATCAGAGGAGCAGGAAAGTTGACATTTCAGGTTGGGACCCTAGGAACCAGCATCTGCAGTTCTTACAACCCCTTTGGTTTATTTGTTGGATAGAGTCCAACTCTAATATTTGTTTAAAAACCAAAAGAACTGCGGATGCTGTAATATTTGTTTGTTTCTTTGTATATTAATGTACAGAACCAAACTACTTCAGTAAATATGTATGCATATAAAGACATTTTTATGAATAAAGTATATTTTTGAAATTAAAAACTTTTCCTTTCTCTCATGGCTGAATCCCTCCCCCAGCAATGACACCTGTAATATTCACTCTTGGAGGTGGATGGAAACAGTAACCCTCTTATGTCTCAGCCCAGTGCCAGGCAGCACTCATTGAAGCACCAGAGAGAAACAGGTTGCTACATACTTAGTTAACAGTTTATTAGGGATAGAATAATAACATCAGTTTGCATTCCAGCTGCCCACAATTTAATATGCAGTTCTGTCCCAAGCAGTTTGTAAGTTGTGAACAAAACATCTCAGGAAGTCAGAGAATATAAGAAAAATTAGTGCCTCATATGAACCTGCACGCCAATACCCAATGAATTGGGAACATAGACCTTTTAATTAAAGTTGGACCGCAGCATTGTATTCTCTGCTCTGCATCGCTGACACAGGGTCACACAAAGCTCCTAATGATGCCTAAAATAATGGCTGAGGAAAGCCAGAACATATAGCAACGGGAGAACAGTTGGTTTCTTTTTGTTGATTGTTACAACAGGTTAGCAGAGTAAAGGCTTTGAATTAGCGTGTCACCTTTCCTAACCTCACGATGCACTTTACAGCCAGTGAAATAATTCTGCTATCACTGTTGGAATGTACAAAATGTGGCACAAGATTACACAAATAGCGATGAAATATGTAGCCGGTTCACTTGGCTGTACTATTGGATGGGAAATAAATGTCAGCCAGGACACCTAGAACAACTCTCTTTCAAAATGCAGTTATTTATGCTTGTCTGAGAGGGAATTCTTCAAAAAAGACTCCACCAAGTGTATCAGCCCTTCCTTACTGCATTGAAGTGCAAATCCAATTAACCCACAATCTACTGACTCAGAGGTGGGAGGGTTATCATCTGAAGCATACATGCAAATATGCCTAAGGCTCTTGACCAGACAACAGCCAAGCTTCTCACTATGTCAGACTAACCACCATGTCAGTGCAAATGGAGGAGAAAAGATCTCTCAAAAGGTCTGGTTGTCAATGCTGCTAATTTGGATTCATTCAACTTTTTTTTACTCTTAATCGTTGCACAATTCAATGAGTTTAAGTCATTCTTCCTTCTTCTTTCTCCCATTATCATTGTAAGGGTGGCAGAATCTTTGAGGAGCTGAGAGTACTGCAAGATTTGTAAATTTACTGAGTTGCAATATAGTATAACTAGAATCCCTACAGCATGGAAGCAGGCTGTTCAGCCCATCAAATCCACACCGACCCTCTGAAGAGCATCCCACCTACCTACCCTATCCCTGAAATGCCCATCGCTAATCTACCTAACCTGCACATCTTTGGCTGCAGGAGAAATCCATGAAGACACAGGGAGAATGTGTAAACTCCACACAGACAGTCACCCAAGACTGGAATCAAACCCGGGTCCCTAGCACTGTGAGGCAGCAGTACTAACCACTGAGCCGCTGTGCCACCCATAAGGCCATAGTTGTACAAAGTGAATTGTAATATGTTAGCCTAAAAATGATTAAAGGTCTAACTATGAGTTAATTAATAAACTGAGTTATTAATAACAATGTTATAACATATGTCAAAGAAAGGAAGGACAAGCAGTTTCATCACATGAATAAGCTTTAATAGTTCTGCTCTGATTGCATTAAGTAAGCCACATTTTGAATTGCAATTTGTTGAAATACCAAGACCACGATCTTAAAGATGTTTATAAGGTTATGAATGATGTAGTATTCACTAAGTGAGGAATGCTGACAAATAAACTACATAAGTTTGCTTCATGGGTCACAAGTGTAATGAACAGATTACCTCCTCATTCCTTGCATCACTCGTAATATTATGTTATGAGGATGTTTCATTAATAACCATTCTCTTGAGGATTTATATTTAAAGGATATGGACAGTGGTGTGTGTGTTAAAAGATTAAATAATGACACTTTCAGACTTCTATTTTGGGTTAATCTGATTTTTATTTTTGTTCAGTAAGTCTTGATGTATAACAAATTGATGATTTTATTGTTTTAGTAGAGAAATCTGGCTTGGGGACTTTTGTTTATTGTAAACCTCATGCAGATGAAGTATAATTATCTGTAACAGTAAGTGAGTGAAGATTTTGAATATATGATTTGACCATTGGATTCGTGAGGTTAGGAAAGAGAGAAAGAGTCAATACACTCCAACATAATTACAATGGTTGTAATAATTACAATAATAATAATTGTAAGAATAGGTTGTAATAATTACAGTGTTCACATTTTACATGTAATATTCTGAAATATATTGAAAGAAGGGGTTTTATGATTATTTGACCAAAAAGTGTTTCTATTCAGGTGTGCTCAGTGTTGTGATATGGAATGATCTGATATGTGCATAGTGTTTAGGATAATGGGAATCAAATTTGACAGATTGTAGCAGGATTTTTTGACCTTATTTCTGGTTGAGCTCTGAGTAGATCTAGATAAAAGTTTTCTTTCAAGCACTGTCTCTCCAGTGTTGCTGAAAGTTGTAATGACTTTCTGTGGTTATTTTCTGAAGATGAAAGGACGGTTGTGGATGTAATGTTATTGCACACATTCAAATGACGTGGCTCATGATAATATTAATTCTTTTGATGTATTTCCAAGTTGCACAACACAATAAAAAAAAATGTACATGAATAAATATGGGGCTTGATTAGCTCAATGGAGCTTGCCATTTGATTTGTGGTGCAGACTAATTCCCAGGTTCAATTCCTGAACTGGCTGAAGTCACCACA